AAAAAAAAAAAAAAAAAACCAGTTCCCCTCACAAATTAGAAAGATCCACCAATGCATAAAATTTACCCATAAAAGATATAAGAGGTCTGTCTGAGTTTTAATTAAATTTACAGTGCCTGGTCAAAAATACTTGTTATATCCTGGAGGTCAGGGTGAAGAAACTTGTGCATAAGTTAGGAAACTATTCCCCTGAGCTTCAAGCTTAAGCCATAAAACCGAGAGAGAAATAAAAAAAAACTTTGTCTGGAACTTACAGTGTGGTTCACAGACGGTAGTTTAGAAAGAGGTACAGTCGAACCCCACTTTTTAGACACCTGCTTAATACAGACACCTTAGGGCCATTTATACGAGGAAAAATAAGACGCATCTTACATAAGACGCGTCTTAAATAAGACGCGAACTTTTCGTATAAATGGCACATTTCGCCTAAAATAAGACGCGGCTTAGCTAAGACGCGTCTTATTAGATAAGACATGCGCGTATAAATGGTACAGTTCGCGTCTTATTTAAGACGCGTAAGACGCGTCTTATTTTTCCTCGTATAAATGGCCCTCTTGTTAAATGCCTTTTTGGACAATTTTCTTTGTCCCTGAGGAAACCCCTTACATTTTCTCGGACACTTGTTTCTTGCCCAATTAACAGATTCTCATAGAAAGTCAACCTCACTAATGTGGACACTTCATTATCCACTGTGTGCTCTAATAGACCTTTCCTTTCTAAAGGGAAAAAAACCTTGACAGCTTGTCGATGGCCTCAATGGTACAGTACATCAGATAAGATGATTTGTAGACGTCAATTTCAGACTATTTTGGCATCAAACAAATTACACAGAGACTGTTTTTCACTAAGTAAATATAGATGACTTATTTTTGAGTGTTTCCTTACATTTACTCCATGGAACGATAGCTTTGTTAAGATTAGAGATGCTAAATTTGACAATACTAATGTCCTTTTTTATTAATTTCTTTAGTATTTTGTTCTAATAAAAGCTGATAAAAGGTGTTCTTTTTCTGCTTTAATAGTATGAACCACTTAAGACAGACATTCCGTGAATACAGGCACTAATTTCTATGGCCCCTTCAACTGCGGCAGGATTAGCTCAGTCGGTAGAGCGCTTGACTGCAGAGCGGGGGGGTCGCGGGTTCGATCCCCGGGGTCAGACCCATACTCGGGGTCTTAAAATAACTGAGAAATGAAGGTACTTCCTTTGCCCTGCAGGCGGCTGGACCTTCGCCTGGCTCGGATGACCACGTAAAATGGCGGTCCCGTCTCCATTAGGAGACGTAAAATATAGTGTCCCCAATTAGCACTTTCGTGCTAAATACATTGACACTCAAATAAAGTGCTTTTTTTTCCCTGCTTTGTTTGTTTTGTTTTATCAACTTTATTGGTCTGAGTCACTCTAAATATATAGTTACAGTAACGACAGAAAAAAAAAGACCAAAAGGTAAGGTGCAAACAGGACCTGGAGTCCCATGCAGGGCACCTCGTAACTAAATCAGTAAAAGTCTAACATTGTGTGTCTGTATTAATGAGGTTTGCCTGTAATTCAATTTAAAGGACAATATTTTAAAATAAAGTCAGTTTTACAGCCTGCCATTCAGGCAAGCTGTAGCTAGCATGTACTATCCCACAAGTCATTTCAACTAGCCCCCAAACCTTTTTGATTAGCAGTATTGATTACAATCCTTCTGTAATCTGAATTTTCTCAAAAAACAGCACTTGCCCATCCAGCAAGTTAAGAACAAATATTACTAGACCGATAGCAAAATCCACTAGCCCCAGGCTTTCGGACACACCTTTCTTTGCACGCTGCCTCGGAAGGAGGTGGGGGCAGGGAGAGCTGGTTTTATATGGAGCATGGTAATTCTATATCTTTGAGATGACTCTTAAATATTTTCATTGCCATAAACAGTACCTTAGGGGAATATGTTTTTCTGATGAATGCATGCTATTGACTAGACTTGAAATTCAAGACCTGAAGAATCACTGTTAAGTATGACTGCAAGAACTCTGTACTGTTAAAGAAGGAGAGTATTCTATAGCATAATATAACCAACTTGTAACCACCACCTTAAGGGCATACCTGGGGGGTGGTGATGGAGGTGGTGGGGGGGGGG